TATAAAGTAAGACTTTGTAATAGTAACCACAAAACAAATCAATTGTTACTGAAACTCATCTGGTTCACAAATGTCCTTCAGGGATGGAAATCTGCCATCCTTACCTGCTTGGCCTACATTAGAGTCCTGACCCACAGCAACGTGAGCGACTCTTAACTGCCTTTGAAATGGCCACTCAATCCAAAGGCTATTAGGGATGGACATAAATACTGGCCTCATCAGTGTAACATCATGAAAGGACAATAAAGAAAAAATTGTCAGCCAAGATTTTCTTTATAAAAAAACCTTACCTCACGAAGCAGTGGCCTTCTTGCTTTCAGCAGCGGGAGTGGTGACAGCACAAGCCATGAAGTGAACTAATATATTCGGGCATTGGCTAGACCCGAAACACTACACGTGTAGTTTCTCCCACCCATCCTCCTCCTCTAACCGAAACAAAAGACTGTGGAGGGTCACTAAGGTAAGGATTTTTTTTCTTTATTCTTCTGGAAATCTAGAGTAGAGGGAATGGAAGCTAGGGCAGTTACATGTTCGTTTTGCAGGATATGGGAGGTAAGGGTCACTACTGGTATCCCTTCTGACTTCACTTGTGAGAAGTGCACCCAACTCCAGCTCCTCATAGACCATGTTAGGGAACTGGAGCTGGAGCTGGATAAACTCCGGGTCATTCGGGAGGCTGAGGGGGTGATAGAGAGGAGTTTTAAGGAGGTGGTCACACCCAAGGTACAGGACAAAGGTAGCTGGGTGATTGTCAGGAGGGGGAAGGGAATAGGCAGACAGTGCAGGGATCCCCTGTGGCCGTTCCCCTCAATAACAAGTATACCGTTTTGGATACTGTTGCAGGGGACGATGTACCAGGGGAAGGACATAGCAGCCAGGTCTCTGGCACTGAGCCTGGCTCTGTGGCTCAGAAGGGAAGGGGATGAGAATAGGAGAGCGATAGTGAAAGGAGATTCACTGGTTAGGGGAACAGACAGGAGATTCTGTGGTACCAAGTGAGACTCCCGGATGGTATATTGCCTCCCGGGTGCCAGGGTCAGGGATGTCTTGGATCAAGTCTACAGGATTCTTAAGGAGGAGGGTGAGCAGCCAGAAGTTGTGGTACACATCTGTACCAATGACGTAACTAGGAAAAGGGATGAGGACCTGAAAAGTGATTATAGGGAGTTAGGATGGAAGCTGAAAGCCAGGACAAGTAGAGTAGTAATCTCAGGATTACTACTCGTGCCACGGGCTAGTGAGGCTAGAAACAGAGAGAGCACAGCTGAACATGTGGCTAGAGAGCTGGTGTAGGAGGGAGGGCTTCAGGTTTGTGGATCATTGGGATACCTTCTGGGAAGGTGGGACTTGTACAGGAAGGACGGGTTGCGCCTGAACTGGAGGGGCACCAATATCCTGGACAGGAGGTTTGCTAGAGCTCTTTGGAAGGGTTTAAACTAGTTCGGCAGGGGGATGGGAACCGGAGCTACAGATCAGAGGATGGGGTAGCCAGTGTACAGACAGATACAGCAATCAGAGAGTCTATGAGGAAGGATAAGTAGTTAATAGGGCAAACTGGCAGTCAGTGCGACGGGTTGAGGTGTGTCTACTTCAATGCAAGAAGTGTCAGGAATATAGGTGACAAACTTAGAGCGAGGATCAGTACTTCAAACTACGATGCTGTGGCCATTACGGAGACTTGGATGACACAGTGGCAATAATGGTTGTTGGTTGTTCCGGGGTACAGATTTTTCACTAGAAATAGGGAGGGAGGTAAAAGGGGTGGGGGAGTGGCATTGCTAGTCAGGGATGGTATCACAGCTGCAGAAAGGGAGGTCATGGAGAAGGGTTTCTCCACTGAGTCAGTATGGGTGGAAGTCAGAAACAGGAAAGGAGCAGTCACTTTATTGGGAGTTTTCTATAGACCCCCCAGTAGCAACAGAGACACTGAGGAACAGATTGGGAGACAGATTTTGGAAAGGTGCAGAAGTAATAGGATTGTTGTCATGGGCAACTTCAACTTCCCTAATTATAGACTGTAACCTCCTAAATGCAAATAGTTTGGATGGAGCAGATTTTGTCAGGTGTGTCCAGGAAGGATTTCTGACTCAATATGTAGGTACACGGGCTAGAGGGGAAGCCATATTGGATTTGGTGCTTGGCAACGAACCATGCCAGGTGTCAGATCTCTCAGTGGGAGAGCATTTTGGTGAGTGATCACAACTCCCTGACTTTTACTATAGTCATGGAGAGGGATAGGAAGCAGACAGTATGGGAAAGTATTTAATTGGGGGAGGCGGAATTACAATGCTATTAGGCAAAAATTACGGAGCACCAACTGGGATCAGATGTCCTCAGGGAAATGCATGATAGAAATGTGGAAGTTGTTTAGGGAGCAGCTGCTACAAGTACTGAATAGGTTTGTCCCACTGAGGCAAGGAAAGGACGGTAAGGCGAAGGAACGTTGGATGACAAGACATGTTGAACACCTAGTCAAGAGGAAGAAGGAAGCTTACTTAAGGTTGAGGAAGCAAGGATCAGACAGGGCTCTACAGGTCTACAAGGTGGCCAGGAAGGAACTGAAGAATGGACTTAGGAGAGCTAGAAGGGGGTACGAGAAAACCTTGGTGGGTAGGATCAAGGAAAACCCCAAGGCTTTCTAACTTATGTGAGGAACAAGAGGATGGCCAGAGAAGGTAGTGCCAATCAGAGACAGTGGAGGGAACTTGTGTGCGGCGTCAGAGATGTTTGGGGGTGGGGGGGTAGGTGGGGGTTCCTGAAATGAATACTTTGCTTCCGGATTCACCAGTGAGAGGGACCTTGACGTTTGTGACGACAGCATGAAACAGGCAGATATGCTTGAACAGGTTGTTGTTAGGAAGGAGGATGTGCTAGAAATTTTGAAAAACATGTAGATAGATAAGTCTCCCTGGGCCAGACAGGATATATCCAAGGTTACTACAGGAAGCGAGGGAAGAGATTACTGCCCCTTTGGCCATGATCTTTGCTTCCTCACTGTTCACTGGAGTAGTGCAAGAAGATCGGAGGGTAGCAAATGTCATTCCCTTGTTCAAGAAAGGGAATAGGGATAATCCTGGAAATTACAGACCAGTCAGCCTTACTTCTGTGGTGGGCAAATTATTGGAGAGGATTCTGAGAGACAGTATTTATGATTATTTGGAAAAGCAAAGCACAGTTTGATTAGAAATAGTCAGCATGGCTTTGAGAGGGGCAGGTCATGCCTCACAAGCCTTACTGAATTCTTTGAGGATGTGACAAAACACATCGATGAAGGTAGAGCTATGGATGTGGTGTATATGGATTTTAGCAAGGCATTCAATAAGATTCCACATGGTAGGCTCATTCAGAAAGTAAGGAGGCATAGGATTCAGGGAAATTTGGCTGTCTGGATACAAAACTGGCTGTCCAATAGAAGACAGAGGGTGGTAGTAGATGGAAAGTATTCAGCCTGGAGCTTGGTGATCAGTGGTGTTCCACAGGGATCTGTTCTGGGACCTCTGCTCTTTGTGATCTTTATAAACGACTTGGATGGGGAAGTGGAAGGGTGCATTAGTAAGTTTGCCGATGACATGAAGGTTGGTGGAGTTGTAGATAGTGTGGAGGGCTGTTGTAGGTTGCAATAGGACATGGACAGGATGCAGAGCTGGGCCAAGAAGTGGCAGATGGAATTCAACCTGGAAAAGTGATTCATTTTGGAAGGTCGAATTTGAATGCAGAATACAGGGTTAATGGCAGGATTCTTGGCAGTGTGGAGGAACAGAGGGATCTTGGGGTCCACGTCCATAAATCCCTCAAAGTTGCGACCCAAGTTGATAGGGTTGTAAAGAAAGCAAATGGTGTGTTGGCTTTCATTGGCAGGGGAATTGAGTTTAAGAGCTGTGAGGTTATGCTGCAGCTCTATAAAACCCTGGTTAGACCACACTTGGAATATTGTGTTCAGTTCTGGTCACCTCATTACAGGAAAGATGTGGAAGCTTTAGAAAAGGTGCAGAGGAGATTTACCAGGATGCTGCCTGGACTGGAGGGTAGGTCTTGAGGAAAGGTTGAGGGAACTGGGGCTTTTTTCATTGGTGCGAAGGAGGATGAGAGGTAACTTGATAGAGGTTTACAAGGTGATGAGAGGCATAGATAGAGTGGATAGTCAGAGACTTTTTCCCAGGGCGGAAATGACTATTACGAGGGGGCATAATTTTGAGGTGATTTGAAGAAGATATAGGGGAGATGTCAGAGGTAGGTTCTTCACACAGTGTGGTGGGCGCGTGGAATGCGCTGCCGGCAGTGATAGTAGAGTCAAATACTTTAGAGACTTTTAAACGACTCTTGGATAGGCACATGGAGGATAGTAAAATGTAAGGTACGCAGAGTAGATTGATCTTAGTAGGATAACAGGTCGGCACAACATCGTGGGCCAAAGGCATGTTCTACGTTCTACGATAATGTGCTTAGGTGCTGAACCAAAAATATTATGACCTCAGCTAAGTGTTAAATAACACTCCACAGGATAACAGATAAGGAAAGACAGAATTTTAAAAGTAAATGGTTCAGGGACTCTTAAATGATCTTTTGCAACATGACCCATCACTTTAAATGTCCAGGATTGAATTAAACAAATCCAGTGATGAAGTTAACAAAAACCAATGAAATGCAGATGCTGGAAATCAGAAATCTTAAAATGAAATTGCTGGAAAAACTCAGTAGGTCCAGCAGCATCTGTGGAGAGAAAGCAGGATTATTATCTAAAAAAAAGAAATTACTAGACTCTGCTTTCTCCCCACAGGTTGAGCTTTTCCAGTATATTTTTTTTGTCAGTGATCAAGCTAATATAAAATATAAAGATGCAATTAAAATACAACATTAAGAGAAATTAACTGCAGAATATCAACATCGAGATCAACTTTGTTCTGTTGGTTAATTCATCTTTCCATCTATTCCAAAATCCTACAGCACAATTTATAATAAAATAAATGACACATGTACCTGGAGAGAGGGGATTTTCTTACCTGGAAATCTTTATAGCTCTGTAAAGGTAGAGCAAGTTCAAAACTTAGTTCTGAGAGCGTGCAATTTGAAGTTTTCTCCTAGGGTGTCAGAGCCGAAGAGGAAAAAAAATCTTCAATCCAAACTTAATGATAACCAATTTACATTAAATGCCGTTGACAAAGCTTATGCATTCAAATTGTGTGATTTTCTCTGAGGTAGACATTACCACACTTTCAATCTGTTGATTTCTGCCAAAGATTTATTACTCACTTATGGACGCAGGTATCGCTGGCTAGGCCAGCATTTATTTCCCGTTCCTATTATTCCAATATATTCTCGGATGGCAATAACAGAGGGCAGGAGAGTTGAGGGGTGGGGGTGGGTGGGTTAAGGTTCCAAACTGTATTCAAGGGAATACAGATTCAGGTTCTAGAGAACTTGAGTCATGGAAAAAGCCATTGCTAGATCTGGTTTCAAGAAAGGAGGTAGGTCAAGCAAAACAAATGCCAGTAAGGAATATTAAGGCAACAGTGATAATAACATCAAAAGGTTTCAATTAGTTATGGAAAAGAACAATAGTGTGTAAAAATTTTAGACTGGAGGGTAAATTTCAGCAGGATAATAAATCTGTCCCAGACAGGCCGCAATCAAATTAGCAGGCAAAATAGTAATTAAACACTGGGCATACTTTAAAGACAACGCAGTATATGTACAATCCCACGTAGGGAAAAGGTGGGACATGCAAGGCCAGAGTTCCTAAATGGTGAAATGAAGCAAGATGCAGCAGAAAAAATGAAATAGATGTGCACTTTAGATGTCATGGTGATAATACAACTGAGGCAGAATATAGGAAGTTCAGAGTTGGAAGTAAAAGAGGAAATCAGCAAGTATGCATACAGAATGGCAACTGATATAAAAGATAATCCTAAAGTGCAGATGTAGAAAGATGTGGGCATAATTCTTAATGAATATTTTATATCTGTCTTGACCAAAGAGGGTGTAATGAAGGCACTGTAGTTGAAGAAGTGTGTGATATATTGAATGTGATAAACACGGGGGAAAGAGAAAGTTTTGATGAGATTAGCATCTTGAAAGCGAATAAATCACCAGGACTGGATGAAATATACCTCAGGATGTTATGAAAAACTAGGGAGGAAATGGCAAAGATCATCACTTTCCAATCTTCAGTGGATGCATGTACGGTGCTGGAGGATTGGAGGTCTACATACATTATACCTCTGATTGAAGATTTAAGAAAAATAGTAGACCAGCAATTACAGGCCACTCCGTCTAAACTCAAACAATTCTGAAAGACAGGATAAACTGCCAATTAAAAAGGCATAAAATAATCAAACACAGTCAGCACAGATTTGTTAAGGGAAGTTCACATCTAACTAACTGCACTAATTTTTTTGAGGCAGTAATAAGTGGGATTGAGGAGGGCCCTGCACTCAACACAGCCTACATGGATTTTAGCAAGGCTTTTGACAAATTTCTGCATATCAGATGTTTAAAGACATAAAAATCCATAGGATCCAGGGGAGTGTAGCAAGCTCGATACAACATTGGCTCAGTGGCAGGAAACAAAGGAATAATCATGAGACAAAGAGAAAACAGTGTTAACGTTAGGAGTCCAGTGAGCTTTCTTCAGAACTGGGGGCGGCACGGCGGCACAGTGGTTAGCACTGCTGCCTCACAGCGCCAGGGACCCGGGTTCGATTCCAGCCTCGGGCGACCGTCTGTGAGGAGTCTGCACATTCTCTCCGTGTCTGCGTGGGTTTCCTCCGGGTGCTCCGGTTTCCTCCCACAGTCCAAAGATGTGCAGGTTACGTGGATTGGCATGCTAAATTGCCCAGAGTGTTCAGGGAGGTGTAGATTAAGTGGGTTATAGGGGGATGGGTCTGGGTGGGATGCTCTGAGGTTTGGTGTGGACTTGTTGGGCCGAAGGACCTGTTTCCACACTGTAGGGATTCTATGAACTGGACAATAATTGCTGCCAAACCTGCTGAGCTTTTTCAGCAATTTCTGTTTTTGTTGTTAATAATTATTGACAGTTGTTTTTGTTTCCAAAAGAGTCCTACAGGGCTCAGTACAAGATTGTCTGCTTTGTGGGGTATGTGTTATTGCTTTGGACTTAAAATGCAGGGGACATTATCAAGAAGTCTGCAGCCGACACAAACGTGGGTTATGTGATTGAAAGTCAAGAGGGAAGCTGCAGAAAGCAACAAGGCATCAATGGACTGGGTAGGTGGTCAGTGAAGTGGCAAATAGAATACAAACCAGAGAAATTGTGGGGTGTTGCATTTGGAAGATCAAACAAGGCAAAAGGAACACATAATAAATAGTTAGATACTGAGAGGTGTAGACGAAGTGAGGGACCTTGGGCTGCACATCCACAGATACTCGAAGGTAGCAGGGCAGGTTGATAAAGTGGTTAAGGTAGCATATGGAACACTTCCCTTTATCAGCCAAGTCACAGAATACAACAGAGCAGGACTTAAGTTGAAGTTACATAAAATATTTACTGGACCACAACTTGAATATTGCTGGCAGTTTTAGTCATCTCATTAAAGACACAATCGCACTTTAGAGAGGGTGCAGAGGAGATTTACAAGGATGTCACCAGGACTGCAAAATTGATAGGCCGGCGTTGCTTTCCTTCTAACAAAGAAAACTGAGGCGAGATTTGATTCTGTTCAAAGTTGAGGCAGGCTGGGATATTGTGCATGGAAAAGACCTATTTCCCTTAATGGAAGGGTCAGCACCGAAGGCAAAAATATGAACTAGAAGGGGCTGAATACTTGCACTGGTAGGTAGGAAAATCTAAATTTTTGTTTTGCACAAATCACATTTTGTTTCTAATTGACATTTAATTGAAATGTTTAAACTCTGCAGCTCCCAGCCTTAAGTAAGGTAAACAAGGTCTTCAAAGAGCAGTTGGGATTAATAAAGCAGCAGCTGAAACCAGATCCTCATTACTTGCGTCAACTAGACTTATTCTCTTAGTAGCACATTAAAACTGACCATCTTGGTGCGACTTTGCACTTACATGACTTAGAGCGGAGTGTTAGAGTTGGATGGTTGAGTGAGTGAGGGAAGAAAGGAAAGAGGTTTTCTTTTATTTTTCTCCAAACCTTTTCAGCCTCAAGCATTGATTCTTATGCTGCAACAGGAAAATAAGCTAGATATTTGCTGAGTATTTATTAAGTGATTAAGGTTTAATCTGTTTCTAAGGATCAAATAGCATAACTGGTGGCAAGGCTAAGAAATTATATAACAGAACAAAAATAAATCATAGTTCCTGAAAAACATATTAAAGATGGCAGTACAGGTGATGTATCACAGTTGCAGCATGTGGGAGTTCCTGGATGACAGTTTGGTCCAGAAATAACACATCTGCAGCAAGTGTTGAAACTCAAGTAGCTTTGGTTCACAGTTTGAGTTGGAGGCTGACATACACAGACTTCAACACATCGTGGAGGGGGCAAGAGCTACCTGGATTCTTTGTACTAGGACGCAGTCACACCTCTTACAGTTTGGTTGTTAAATATGGTCAGTGTTCAGGTGCTCAATGGCACACAGGCAGGAAAACGAAAGGTGGCGCTGCATAGTTGGTAAGAGGAGCTAGGCATCAAATCAAAAGGCAAATCTCTGGATTATAATTTAAGGCACATGCAAATTGGCATGATGCAAATCAGATTAGAAAGATGAATGCATGGCTCAAAGACTGGTGTGGGACGTGGGTTCCAGGTCGTGGGGCATTGGCACAAATACTGGGAAAAACAGGAACTTACAAATGGGCCGCTGTCCATTTGAATTGCGTTGGGGCTGCATTTTTGCAACTCTAACTCTCAGAAAGTAGAGAGGATATTAAACTAAATAGCAGGGGCAAGGGATCAAGTTTAGGAAGATGTAGTAAATCAAAGAATAAAGTCAAGGCAAGAAAGAGAAAGGATTTAATATAGAAAATGAAATACTGTGACAGGAAGAAATAGTAAAAGAAAAACAAATTGGAGAGTTAACCAACTCATAAGATTAGAATTAAGATAAAAGGATAAAACTAGAGGCTTTGTATCTGAATGCACATAGCATTCAAAACAGAAACTGACAGTGTAAGTGGAAATGAACGAGTACGATCTGGTAACCATTACAGAGACACGGCTGAAGGATGACATGAATTAGGACCTGAATCTTCAAGGGTACAGGACATTTAGGAAGAATAGGAAACTAGGAAAGGGTGAAGAAGTAGTTCAGTTAGTTAATGATGGTATTAGCACAATAGAGAAGGATGGCCTAAGCTCAGGAATGTAGGATATGAAAACAGGTTAGGTAGAAATTAAAAAATTATAAAAGGAAAGGGGTATTTTATGGGGGTGGTATACAGCATTTCCGCCACCAACCCTTTAACAATATGCTTACCCTGTCCTGTAGCCAAAGAGTTTCTTAGAACATCATGTTCTGAAGGTGACCAGACAGCAGGCTACACTAGATTTGCACAATGAGAGAAAATAAACAATTTCACAGTGAAGGCACCCCTAGGCAGCAGCGGACAGTGTGATTGAATTTTACATTCAGTCTGAGGAATAGTGATGGGCCCAAGACTATTTTATAGAATTTAAGAAAGGCGAATTATGAAGGCATTTGTGGTTAACTGGAAAGGTTATAGAAAATATCAAAATAAAAGAAACAGTATACCATTGTGCAAAGAGTGTCTGCAGGTCAGAAGATTAGATATCGTCACAGAATCCCTACAGTGTGGAAGGAGGCCATTCAGCCCATTGAATCCACACCGACCTTCCGATAAGCATCCCACCCAGATCCACCTCCCCATTCTATACCAGTACCCCACATTTACTATGGCTAATTCACCTAGCCTACTCATCCCAGGACACTATGGGGCAATTTAGCATGGCCAATCCACCTAACCTGCATATCTTTGGACTGTGGGAGAAAACATGCAAACTCGACACAGCCAGTTACCAGTGGGCGGAATCAAATCTGGGTCCCTGGTTCTGTGAGGTAGCAGTGCCAACCACTGAGCCACCGTCCCACCGTCCCATTTTAATAATATATTCAAAAAAACAGCCAAAATACTAATAAGGGAACCATTACAGTGAGAAGGCTAGGCAGAAATACACATACAGGTAGTAAGAGTTTTTATAAATATTTAAATAATAAGTTAATAAAATGAGCATTGCTACAGAAAGTGAGACTGAAGAATTAATAATGGAAAATAAGGAAATGACAGATGGATTGAAGTGGTATTCTGCATCAGTCTTCATTCTAGACAATATAAGTAACATCCTAGATACAGCAATAAATCGAGAAATAGAAGGGAGGGAAGAACTCAGGAAAATTGCAATCAGAGAAGCAGTACCTAATAATTTGTTGGAACTGTGAGCTGACAAGTACCCAGGTCCTGATGGATCTCATCCTAGGATCTTGAAAGAAGTGACGTGTGACATATTTGATACATTGATTTTAATTTTCCAAAAATCCCTCGATTCAGGGATGGTCCCAATGCATCAGAAGCTAGCAATTACAACTCCTTTGTTCAAAAAGGAAGACAGAAAGCAGGAAACTACAGGCCAATTAGCTTTATTTCTATCAGATGGAAACTGCTAAAGAAGTTATGCTGAGACACTTTCATAATTTCAAGGCTGTCAGGCAGAGTCAATATGGTTCTGTGAAAAGGATATCATGTTTAGCTAACATTGGAGTTCTTGAGGTGGTAGTACTTGCCTTCTGGGAAGCTAAGTGCAAGGGGAACAGTGGACGCAATACACTTACCTTCTGGAAAGCTATCTGATAAGGTGCTACATCAAAGGTTATTGCGGAAGATAAAAGCTCACAGTGTAATAGATGGCATATTGTTGTGGAAAGAAGATTAAAATAGTTAAAACGAAGCAGAGAATAGACATCGCAATAGCTCTTTTTTTAGGTTGGCGAGATTTAACAAGTGGTGCGTACCGGGATCATTGCTGGGAGTTCAATGATTTACAATTTAAATAAATGACTTGGATGAAGGAGCAGAAGGAATAGTTGCCAAATTTGCTGATGACACAAAGATTGGTACGAAAATAAGCTGTGAAGAGGACAGAAGGCAGCTACAAAAAAAAAATATGATTAGATAGGTTGATTGAGTGGGCAAAAATGTGGCAAATAGAGGTGTAATGTAGGAAAATATGAAACTATGCATTTTGGCAGATAAAATTTGAAAAAGCATATTATCTAAATGGTGCGAGATTGCAGAGCTCTGAAATGCAGAGAAAACGGGTGTTCTCATGAATCATAAGAGATTAGAATGTAGACAGCAGTATATAAGGAAAGCTAATAAATTGTTGTCATTTATCGCAAAGGGGAATTGAATACCAAGTAGGGAGATTGCGCTTCATTTATACAGGGACGCTGTCAAACTCAATCTGGAGTACTATGCACAGTACTAGTCACCCTATTTAAGGGAGGATGCAGGTGCATTGGAGGCAGTTCAGAGACAGTTTAGCAGACAAGCTGGAATGAAACAGCTGATTTAGGAAGAAAGATTGGACAGGGTAGGCTTGTATTCACTGAAGTTCAGAAGAGTAAGAGATGTCTTAATTGAAACGTAAGATGTGGAGGCATCTTGATAGGGTGGATTTGGAAAAGATATTTCCTGTTGCGGGAGAATACAGAGCCAGGGTTGTTGTTTAAAAATCTGTCATTGGGCAAGCGTAGGCACAACAGGCAGTGTGGTCTCCTCCTGTGCTGAAATGTCAGGAGAATGGCACAATAAGAATTGCTTCTTTAAAAGGCCAGTAGAGACGCGATTACTTGAATAGTCTTCATTTGTGCTGCAACATGTTAAGGTTGGCTGAATAGGGACCAAAAGATTGACACGTGGGCAGAGGATATAGCTGAGGTGCGAAGTGAGTACTTTGCAACTTGCTTTAAAATAGAAGATGATTCTGCTGTAGCCAGAGAAAGTGGTGGCAACTGAGGCACTGCATGAGCCAAAAGTTAACAGGAGAGATATTTGAAAGGCTGGTGGTATGTAAAGTCAGTCACCTGGACCAATTGGAATTTATCCAAGGATGCTGAGGGAATTAAGGGAGGAAACTGTGGAGGCATTTGCCATGATCTGATGTCAGAGGACAGGACAATTGCAAATTTTGCACTCGTTCAAAATGGGTGTAAAGATAAAGCCATCAATCTACAGGGCAGTGAGTTTAACCTTGGTCAAAGGAAATTTTCGCAAGATGATAATCTGGGTAATAAATGGTTGTTTGAATGAAAGTGGATTAATTCAGGAAAGCCAGAGATTTGTTGGAAGCAAGTAACATTTAATTAATCTCAAGTTTTAATAAAGTAACACATAGTTGATGAGCTAACACACATGCCAGGGTTTCACAGCCATCAATCCTAGGACCAATGCTTTTCCTTATTCTATATTAATAGTCTAGGTTTAGGTGCACTGGTCATAATTTCAGATTGGAGATGCCAAAATTTGTAAATGTTGTGAACTGCAAAGAGAGGTGATAAACCTCAAAAGAAAGCAGATAGGCTGGTGGAATGGCCAGAATTAGACAGAAGAAAATTAATGCAGAGAAGTGTGAAATTCTTTTTAATTTTTTCCGCAGGATGTGGACACTACGGCTAGACCAGCTTGTTGACGTCCATCCTTAATTGGCCTTAAGATAGTTAATCACCTTCTTGAACCATGACAGTTCATGAAGTGTGGACACACCCTGTGTGTTGTTAGGTGGGAAAGTAGTACAATTCAATTTAAAGAATGAGGACAGACAAGATAAAACAGGCTAAAGGGTCTTGTGGCACAGGGGTAGCATTCCTACCTCTGGTCCTGAAGGTCTATGTAGAGTCCAACCTGTTCCAGGAGGTGCGTCATAAGAAATCTGAACAGGTTGATTCAAAATACCTATAAACAGGGTAGAATTCTAAATGAGGTACAGGAACAAAAGGATTTGGGTGCGTGTGTAAATGGCAGAGCAGGTTGAATAAAATGGTTTAAAAGACTCCAGATTCTGGCCTTTACAAATAAGAGCACAAAAGATAAAAGCAAGAAAGTTCTGATGAATCTTCATAAAACTCTGGTTCAGTCTCAATTGGAATATTGTGTCCCAATTCTGTGCACCGTCTTTGTGAAGGCATCTTTCAGGTACTGTTGCAGGGAGGTTGCAGAAAAGATTTAGAAGAATGGTTCCATGGATAATTACATGAATAGGTTGAAGAGGCTGTGAAGATGGAGAGAAAATTTGATATGCATGTTCAAAATCATGCAGGTTCTAGATCACTGTTGGAGACAAAGCATTCACGTTGGTTTAAGAGTTAAGAACTAGAGGACACTGATATAATGAGATTGGCAAGAAAGGCAACAGTATGCAAGGACAAACATTTTCACAAAAAATGTCTTCGACTGTAAATTGTCTGGTGCATGGTTGCTGTCAGCATAGGCATAATGAGATAGACTCCAACCAGGTAAGGAGCATGGGACTGTTGGTGAAAGGAGAGGTGTGGTTGGGTTATTTGATTATGTAGAATCTGCTCAGTATTTTCAAAATTTTCTGATTCTGTTTGAGACTTACTTGTACCTGGCAGCTCAGACACACCAAGATTTTATCATTGCTACTTTAGAATAATTTCAAACTGTCACTGGAGAAATCAGCAATATCATAATCCTGCTCAGCAAGACATTCCTTTTTTTAAAATTTGTGACAGTCGTTTATTCCATTTTCAATTTCTACCTGATTTGTTATTATATATTTAAGTAAAGATTCCAATATGCAATACAATACAGCACAGGAACAGGTCCTTCAGCCCACCAAGCCTGGGCCAATTCCTAATCCTTATTTAAACCCACTACTTATGGCCCACGCGTAGTATCTAACCCTCTATTTGCTTCACGTTCATGACACACCTTAAATGTTGCTAACATGCCCGTTTCCATCACCTCCACTGGCAGTGCATTCCAGGCAGTCACCACCCTGTGATAAATTTTCCCCGCACTTCTCCTTTAAGCTTTCAGCCCCTCATTGAACTTGCGCCCTCTTGTAGTTGACCTTTCCACCCTGGGGGAAAAAATAATCTGACTATCCACCCTATATATGCCTCAACTTTTTTTAGACCTCTATTGGGTCACTCCTCAGACTCTTTCCAGTGAAAACAATCCAGGTTTATCCAACCTCTCCTCATAACTAAAACCATCCAGACCAGGCAACATCCTGGTAAACCTTCTCTGCACCCTCTCCAAAGTACCTATGTCCATGCCCTTCTGGTAGTGTGGCACCTAAAATTGCACACAATATTCCAAATGTGGCCTAACTAAAGTTTTGTACAGCTATAACACAACTTGCCAACTTTTACATTTCATGCCCTGGCTGATGAAGGCAAGCATGCTGTATGCCTTCTTGACAACATTATCCATCTGTGTTGCCACTTTCAGGGATCTGTGGACCTGTGTGCCCAGATCCCTCCAAGTCAATGCTCCAAAGGGTTCAGCCATTTATTGCGTAATTCATACCTGAATTTGATCTCCCAAAATGCATTCTCTCGCATTTGTTCAGATTAAACTCCATCTGCCCTTTCTCTGCCCAAACCCTTTGGCAATCCTCCTCACTATCTGCAACTCCACCAATTTTGGTCTTGCAGAGTGCCAAAATGAACACGACAGGCCAAAGGCCTCCTCTATGGATGCAACTATTCTATGATTCTTTAACATTGACTATCAGATTCTGAAAGTTTTAAACTAAAATTATTTTTCCTGCAGCATTAATTTTTGTCACAAAAGCATAATTTTACCATTGCAACTCTACTTCCCCGATAATTTTTCTGCTGTGTTGGAACAAAATGCTCAGATGAAATCCCAATTATATTCTAGGAAGAGATGAGGGGATTGAGTTTACATGGGGACAAAACAAACAGATGCAATTAACACCAAGATCATGACATCCAGACCACTATTAGATTTGCATTTAAAGATTTGTGGTAGGCTCAGAGATAACTTCCATTCCCATCCTCATCTCAGAAATTTTTGATAATTTGAACATAAACAATATGAAGCAAACCATTCCAATGCTTAAACAATGATTTTCCTGTCTGTATTGATGAGAGAAGCATCTACTGTATAGTCTAGTGAGGACATCAATAACTATCAATGTTATATGTACATTACACACCTATACCACAAAGGGAGATTAGACTCTAGGACATTTACAATAAATGGGAGATGTCCACCCATCTTCTCCAGAGATTGTTTTTAGAAATTTAAAATGTTTTTTCTGACAGAAAGCAAATGATCATTGTCTCAAACTAGAATGAAATACCCTCCCCTTTATTCAATAATTCAAAGTGAGATTAAGACCATGTAAATAGCTTTCCTCTTTCCTTCCCTTCTTGTATATTGGCTATTTCTGTAACTAGCAGTTCAATGTATTAAGTAAACTAACTAGCAAGCAATAATCTTTAACAGCCATCCAATTACCAGATTTCCAGCTCTAGCTCACGGTGCTGCTGGGTTGATTTCTGTACAACTTTGATCAAACGTATCAAATTGGAAAGAGATCATCTTGACTAAGCAAGTTCAGAGCCACTTCATCTCCAATCAACAAAGAGGAAAGATACTGATTCCACTGGAAGGCACAGTAGTAATTTAAATACAAGACAAAGAATTCTGGCATTGAATAAACAACAAGATATACAGCTAATGATTTATCCTAATGTTTTTGACTTAGTTTGTATAAAATTATTCAATCTTGACAGTTTTTGTATATGTGCACCAACCTGAATATTTTGAATGTGTGGAAAAAAGATGAGTTTGTCATCTGAGTAATGTTGATTGTCCACTACCAGCTCAGGATTGCGAACTCCAACACCAATCATCTTTTTTTAATTAAAAGGAAATGAAAAAGGGACAATTCAGCATTCAGTAAATATCAATATAATTGTACAATTGATTTCCCTTCATTCAGCAGATTCTACTTAAGATATTATGCATTGCAACTGTTTGAAAAGAATAAATTTGCTTCAAGACTTCTAACTTCTGTAAACATATTTATTTATTAAACTTTAAAAAAAATCAATGAGAGATCAACTTAAACAATTAAAGTAATTAAATTTTCCAGTGGAAAAGTCTGCCTATTCAATAATTTAAAATGAGTTTGAGGTCACATAGATAGCTTTTCTCTTTCCGTCCCTTTTTGCACATTGACTATTGAGGTTTGCAGAGATTTGATGTATTACTAAATGAGCTAACCTTGTCCCTACCACAAACAGCCCTCTCCCCCAAACTCCAAAGGCACCAACTCATGCAGGACAGAAGAATTCCTCCAATAGTAATGTGATCACTTTACACAGCCAACACTGGCACCTCCACACCATCACAGCACTTTAGATGGTAAATCAATATTCCTCAAGGGAGTAGCAGAGTTTCATCTGCCTCACAACATCAGTTAAATCCATTTGTCCAAATCAAAAATTAAATAATCAAATGCTTGCAGCACAGATGAAGCCAGTGGCCCACTGTATCTGCAGCAGCTTTCTGCAAGAGCAATTTACCAAGCCCCATGCCCTTTTTATGGAGCCACGCAATTCTCTCTTCAGAAATTTTCCCAATTCCCTGTTGAAAGTCACAATTCAATGTCTCAAACCATTCTCTCAGGCAACTCATTCTAGATCCTAACAACCTGCTGCACATAAATATTTCTCATGCTGCCTTTGGTACTTCAGCCAATTACTTTAAATCTGTCTCTTCTGGTTCTTGGCCCATCCTTTGTTAGGAAAGATATCTAGATATTCTGTCCAGAGCCCTAATGATTTTGCACACCTTCTATCAAATCTCCTCTCAATCTTTTCTAAAGAAAATAGCCCAGCTTCTTCATTCTACGCATGTAGCTCATGTCCCTTATCTTGGCACAATTTTAATAAATCTTTTTTGCACTGTCTCTAAAGTCTTCAATGGCTTCCTAAAGCTTCTCTTTGTTCATCCTTTCACGATTTATACTACATCACAGTTCTCTGCATTAACTATCATCTCTCACGTGTCTGCCCATTTTGCCAGACCGTTTAGGAACCTTTAGGAGCTACCACCATCCTCCTTACATTTCACAAAATTTTCAAATTTGTCATCTGCAAATTTTGAGAAGTGTTTACCCAAGTTGTAGTTCTGGTATCATCTGGGAAATACGATTGTATACTTCCTCCATTCACCAAGTCATCTTTGTATCCATACTGCCACTGTCACTCATATTTCATGGGCTTCAATTTTGTTAGTAAATCTGTTATGTGGCACTTTAATAAAAATGCTTTTGAAAGCCCATACAGATCAAACTAACTTCATTACCCTCATCAACCATCCGTTACCCTCAAAGATCTCAATCAAGCTGGTTAACAGGAATTTTCTTTAGCATATCTGTGCTGGCTTTCTTTGATGAACAATCTCAGACCATTTAGGCCTGAGACGAAAAAGAATTCCTTCACTCAAGGTGCCAACTCATGGGAACCCTCTAGCCAAAAAGGTTGTGGAAGCTCAGTCATTAAGTTCAAGAAGGTATCAGCAGATATCTGCTTAATGAGGACATTAAGGATTATGGGGACAGCACAAGAAAAATCGGCCACAATGGAGAACAACAAAGCAGCAGGTCCCACGGTTGAATACACTGTTCCAAGTGCCTGCTCATTTTGGCCTTGATTATCATATAGAAAAAAGGTTAAATTTGAATTCAATACAATAAATTTGGAATAAAAAGCTCTTTTAATGGGAACCTGTAACCACTATCAACTGTCATAAAAACCCATATGGTTCAGTAATGGCTTTTAGGAAAAAAGAATGTCATCCTTACTTGGTCTGGCTTAAGAGAGACTCCAGAAATACAGCAGTGTTTATGGCTCAACTGCATCTGAGCAATCTATGCTGACCTAGCCAACAAAACGCATATCCTATGAACAAACTTAAAAAATAATTTCCAATAATTTTTCCAACAGAGGTCAAAAGACACTGGCCTATGTTTGCCCGGCTAATCCTTAAATTTAAGGGAAATTAGAAGATTATGGCCAACGCCGCCTCAATTTTCATCCTTCTGTCTTCAGCATCTTTGGATATGTCCCGCTCAGACCTTGTGACTAAGGAAAGTACAGTCATCCTTTTTAATGCCCCCCCCCGCACCCCATCAATTTTTAATCCCTTCAGTTTCTTAACTACCTACTCCTTCACTGCTACTTTAGCAGTATCATCTTTCAAGGAATAGTCAAATGCGCAATGTGAATGTTGTACCTCAGCCACGCACGCTGCCTCAAAAGCATAAAGTCTGAACGAACAGATTTGGCCAACAACTGTCAAGCAGCATAAAATCTAAACGTCATTTACCAACAGACTTGTGCATAACTTTCATTGTGAAAACAAGTGAAGTAAACCAATTGATCATTTTTTATTTCAATACCTCTTTACAAAAGGAAACTTTAAACAGCAGTACAAGTTGTTGCATAATTAATGCTGTATCATGAAGCTGTGTAATACAGTAGCTACATCTAGATCTCGTGTGCACAAGGGAATTTTCAGAAAGAGTGCTTTAGAATTAAGTCCATTTACCAACCTGATATGAAAGAGTCCCATGGGTAGAGGTGTTTATAAATAAAGAATTTTGTACAGTTCCTTCTTCAGTGGGCAGAAAGACAACTCTTAGAATAATATTTCCTCCTGCTGGAATTATCTGGAGCATAGAAAATACGAAATGTTAAAAATTCTCATGACAATAATTACAGTCTGCATATATATTGTTTGTCTCCTTGTCATAATAACACTTGATTTATAGATTAAATGCTGTTAGCGTAGCTGCATCATACCAGCAATTACTTAAAAATTACCAATGCAACAAATTGAAAGACCCCTATTTCACCAACATTTTGTATTATTAGATACAATTTATATTTATATTTGCTCCAAACAATCTTCACCCTGAGCTGACAATAGTAGACACCTTGAGGAAGAGATTTTCCCAAAGCTTTTACAAGGACAATTCAATTTATCTTCCAACACAGGAGCTGCTCAAATGTTGCATATTTCCGAATATTTGTTTAGGAGCACAAACACAGCATGGTGCATGTGAGGAAGAACTTATTTATAATGCAAGTGATGGTGACCTGAAACTCACTGCCCATGAAAATGATGGATGGAGAAACAATAATTTCATTTCAAAACAAGCCTGGATAAATACTTTTAAGTACATAAACTTGGGTGGCTACAGGACCCAAGTGAGGGAGTGATTCTGACTTCCTCCATCGGGCTGTCATGGGCTTGATGGGCCAAATGCCCCCTTTCTTGTTGTAAATTACTCTATCACCTTTCATCAAGGAGTTGTAGAAAGTAAGGTGAACCAAAGAGGTTGCATACAATGGATGTCACTAACGCAATTGAAAACCAGGTTGAATACGGAAGGTCCAAAAGGAAAGTGGGAAAATACAATTAAGACATCTAAAGAGTGTGCATGAGTTTAAAAAAAACCTTAAGTTTTGAAGAGTACTGGTGACTACCGGTGCGTTTGTTTTATGAAGAGAAACTGGCAGCCAACATAAAGTGAATCCTGACATCTTCTTTACATAAATGATAAAAGTAGCTGCAGAGTGGGGGAGCTTGATATATATGAGAATACATATGCATGGAGGTAGGGAATATGACTAGACACTTAACTGAGTACTTCACATTTATTTTTGCCAAGGAATTAGAAGTTGCCAAAATCAATTCTGTATTTAAGACATTGGATAGGTTAAAAATTGAAAGCGAGTGTATTTGATAGGGTGACTGTATTTAAAATAGGCATGTCACTCAGTCAGGTAGACAGGAGATACAGAGAAGACACCAAGGGAAGTAAGGGTACACATTGAAGATGCACTGATAATTTATCAACTCTGGTTGAGACTTCCCCAAAAATGTCGAAGTTAGTCAGACATGATTTCCTTTCATGAAGCCATGCTGGCTGTCCGTGATTAGATTATCACTTTCCGAACATTCTGCCATTACTTCCTTAATAATTGACCCCAATATATTTTCTGCATTGGATGCAAGCCTAATCGGCCTATAGTTACTCACTTTTTGCCTCCTTCCCTTTTTCAATAGGGGTGTCACTTTGGCATTTTCCAAACCACTGGAACACCTCCAGAATCCAAGGATTTTTGGAAAATCTATGTACTAGCATCTGCTGTCTCTGTAGCTACCTCTTTTAGGATCCTAGATGCAAGCCATCAGTGCCAGAGGACTCACCTACCTTTAGCCCCATCTGTTTGTCCAATACTGTTTTCGTAGTGATGGTACTCATTTCCTGTCCCATATTCTTTAGTATGAAAGGGATACTCAAAGTATCTTCCACGAGAAAGATGGATGTAAAATATCTGTTTAGCTCCTCTGCTATTTTCCTTGCTCCCCATAACTATCTCTCCAGATACATTTTCCAAAGGGCCCATGTTCACTTTGACTTCTCTTCCTTTTTATATGTTCAAAGAAGCTCTTGTCATTTTTCATATTCCTCATTAGTTTGCCCTCACAGTTTATTTTCTTGGGTTTTATTATCTTTAGTCCTCCTTTGTTGGATTCTTAATTGATCCCAATTTTCAAGGCAATCACTGACTTTTGCCTCCCTAAATACTTTTGCTTTCAATTTAAAACTCTCCTTAACCTTCTTGGTTAGGCATGGTTGGTTTATCCTTCTCAGAATCTTTCCTCCTTACTGGGATATATATTTGCCGAGAGTCATGAATTACCTTACATGTCTGCCACTGCATGCTTACTGTCATTCCTGCAAATCTATCCGCCTAGTTCACCTTGGCTAACTCTATCCTCACATTTAATTCTAATTCTTTAAGTTAAACTAAGTTGTTTCTGACCCACGTTTCTCACTCGAGCTGAATATTAAATTCTATCGTGTTATGATCCCTAATTCCCGAAGGATCTTTTAATATGAATTAATTTATTAAACCTGCCACATTACCTATTACCAGATCCAAGATAGCCTGCTTTCTAGTTAGTTTCCTAGAGCAATGTGTCATGGAGCCATCACTAATGCACTCAATGAATATTGTCATAGTTACACTTTCCAAATTGACTAACTCAATCAACAAGATTAAAGTCGCCCATAATTCTTGCTGGATTCTTCTTACATGTTATTTATTGATTTTTAGCCTTTCCCACAGATTGGTTACTGTTTGGGAATCCTACCAATGTCTTCTTTCCCTTGTTGTTTTTTGCCATGGCCCAAATCCAAGCCAAGATCACTCGTCACAACTGTCCTCCTTTAATTTCTTATTTTACAGTGCTACTCTACCCACTTTTCCATCTCTCCCATCGCTCCAAAAGGTCAAATATCTCTGAACGTTAAGCTCCCAGTTTTCATCTCCTTATAACCATGTTTCTCTAATGGCTAGGAGATCATATTCATTTACACTGATTTGTACCATCAGTTCATCATGATTCCTAATGTTTTGTGTCTTAAGATACAGAGCCTTTAAGTTTGTTCTATTGTTGAATTTCCCTACATATTTATAATTCATTGGTGCAATATGGTATTCAAACATTGTTACCAGGAAATAAACAAAAGGCACAAATCAGTCCCATCAGTAACCTACAATCCTATTTTCTCCTTTACCTTTGATTTTCTAATTTACTATGCAACTGAACCTGCTCCACCTCCCCCAACTATTTAGTTTAAAGTTCTATCTACAGCTAGGGTATTCGCTAAGTCTCTAAACCAGCATGATTCACAATCCTAGACAACAAGGTGCAGGGCTGGATGAACACAGCAGGCCAAGCAGCAT